CCGCCGCCTGCTCCGCGACTCCCCGCACCTCGTCGCCAAGTATGAGGAGTTCATGCTGCGCCGCTGCCTCGCCGCCGACCCGCCCCATCTGTCCTGGCACAGCCTGAGGATGGGAGAACCTGCTGTCCCTTTAGGGTGCAGCCCCATCTGTCCTGGCACAGCCTGAGGATGGGAGAACCTGCTGTCCCTTTAGGGTGCAGCCCCATCTGTCCTGGCACAGCCTGAGGATGGGAGAACCTGCTGTCCTCTTCGAGTGCAGTCCCATCTGTCCTGGGACAGACTGGAGAGAGGCAAACCCACTGTCTCCTTAGGGTGCTGCCCCCTCCATCCTGGGACAGACTGGGGAGGGGTACCAGCTGTCCCCATAGGGTGCTGCTTCATCCATCTGTCCTGTGTTGTCTTGGGGAAGGGACATCCCTGTCCTGGAGGGGTGCTGCCCATCCCCAACATTTCCTGGGATAGCTGGGTGAGGTGGGACCCACTCCCAGTGGGATGCTGCCTATCCCCAGTAAGTTCTGGGGATGGTATCCCAGCTGGGATGGCTCTGAGACCTGCTGTCCTGCTGGGATGGTGCCTGTTCCCACTTGGGTCCCAGAGCAGAGCATGGAGTGTTGTTGGTGATAAACACTTCTGGTCCTACCACATCCCATGAAGAGTCCTCATTGCAAGGGTTCTTTGCTTGCTTGTCAGCAGTTTGTTCAGGATTTGGGCCTTGGGTACCAAAATATCATTCCCTGTATCCCTATTACCTCGTTAGAGCACCAGGATTTGACCTTGGGGATTGTGGAAACACAGCATGAGTGGTAGGACTTGAAGGGGTTTTTTGCTGAGCCATCGTTTCCCTAATTTAACAGAAATCCTTTTTTTTCTGCACAAATGGGAAGTGTGGAGTTTCCCAGCTGAGGGTTTCGTCCTGGGCCATTGGGACATGCTGCAGGCTCCATGGTGTGGAAGAAGGAACTGTAAACAGTCACTTTTTCCCAGTGAGGACGTGAATCCATGGCACAGAGGAGTGATGTTGACTCAATTGTCTGTTGCCTAAGTGAGGAAGTGTCTGTCTGTTCAGAAGTCAGCCCAGCCAAGCTTGATGACAGTGTAGTTATGAGCGTGTTGCTTTCGTTTTCTCTTCCCTTTTCCTTCAAACGAACTCTGTTAGGTTTCTGTTTGAGGTTTCTCTTTGAGGGTAAGCCAGAGCTTCCTGGAACGCTGGGAAACTTAGAAGTGCTGCAAAGTTTAGCTAGAACTCAGCTTGGATGGCAATTCCGGGTAGCAAGAACATGAAAGGAAAGTCTGACCTAGTAGTCAGAATGGAAAAGGTGGTGGGAGGGTTGTGAAGATTTAATCAGAGCACTGTAATAGGCATCCTATGCAAATCGGTGAACCTGGCTCAGGTTACCCATTTCACGGCCCCTGAGCATCCTGCACGAGGGCTTGTCCCTTCAGAGGGTGAAGTTAACAGCAAACAACAGCTTTTGTTCCTTTCTGAAGCCAAATCAAGTGCAAGATCTTGATATTTCAGCAGTGCTGGGGATAAGATCGGGGAGATAGAGCACGTTGTGCTGCCACAGAGGGGATGCCCCTGCTGTCAACCAGCTAGCAAAAATCCAGTTCCTGCTCACCGAATCTCAGCTCCTTGACTGCTGTGATGTTATCTGTGCTCAGGAGAAGGTGTACAAGCAGCCTACGTCACCCAGGCTGGCTGGTTGGAAGGAACCAGCTCCAGCTCAGCCCGGAGGGCGTTGCCTGTGTGACAGCAGCACAGCCTGAGCTTCATCCGACTGTTGCTGTGAGGGGTTTGGGCAGAACTGGGGCCACACACTGAGCAAAAGCCTCCTCCCTGGTTAGTCAGTGAGCAGGTGACGTGCACGGGCATCCTCCTCCCAGCTGCCCAGAAAAGCAAAAAGTGACCCTGGGGCTGGTTGGAGACAAGGCAGCTCTGGTGGACCAGCACTGCTGGTGTGTCTGTAGCGCTGGAACAAAGGCTGTTGGAATCAGCCCTCCGGCAGGGAGAGGAATTAATCACCCTATTCATTCTTCCCAGCGAGCTTGTGTGGCTGTGCTTATGTAAAATCAGGGTATGAATTATTTACAGCGGGTTTTCCCTGCTGTAGTAGTGCTGGAGTACGGAGCCAGAGCGTAGTTTGGGGACAGGGTGATGCCTGGCCCTGGGTGTCACCTCTGCCAGGGTGTGTTGGGATGGGGGCACAGACATGCTTGGCACTGGGTGTTACCTCTGCCAAGGTGTGTAGGGCTGGGGCATGGTGATGCTTGTCCCTGGATGTCACCTCTGCCAGGGTGTTTAGGGCTGGGGTATGAGCATGCTTGTCCCTGGATGTCACCTCTGCCAGGGTATTTAGGGCTGGGGCATGGTGATGCTTGACCCTGGATGTCACCTCTGCCAGGGTGTGTAGGGCTGAGGTATGGTGATGTTTGGCACTGAGTGTCACCCCTGCCAAGATGTGTAGGGCTGGAGCATGATGATGCTTGTCCCTGGGTGTCACCCTGCCAAGGTGGTGGCAGTGAGGAGCTGTGGGGGGATGGCAGACACAGCCCCGGGCGTGTGGCACGCAGCATCCTGCTCCTTCCACACGTACTGCAGCCTTTCATAAATGAAAGAGCTTGGCTGTGCTGCTGGGGAGGAGGAGGAGGAGGACCAACACAACACCGGTGCGTGTTGCCATGGCAACTGGTCAATTGATGCGCCATCAATCGCAAGACAAATCATTTTCTGTGTTTGCAGCTTTGGTTTTTCCCTCGTTACAATTGGGTGGTATCACTGTCTAGTGTTTGTCACTCTGCATCCTTCCAAAAGCTTGGGAGAACAACAACCTTTAGAGAAACGGAGCTGTGTGGGCTGAGCTCAGTGAATGAGCAGGGGGAGGGACAGAGGCAACTCATGGCTGTGCAAGGAGTTGGCTGGAAGCAGAGCTGTGTGATTATTGGGGGTCTCAGGAAGACACTTGTTGTGGGGGGAAAACTCAGTTTCCCTTCTCATCTGCAGGGGTTGAGCCTGGAAGTGGCTGTTTAAGTCAGTGATGTGTCAGAGGTCAGTGGAAGAGGGGAATGTACTGTCTATCCAGGCATATCACTCTAACAGCCTCCTCCTAGTTGACCTTGGATGTGTTATCTCCTTCCCTAATACATTCATGTAGTTTGTTTCCCCACACCTTATTCATGGCATTTGTCATTTCAGCTCTAGCAATATAGATTTTAATTTCTCAAGTGTTTTAAAGGCCAACATTTTGAGTGAGGGGTTAATTTGGAGTATGGAGTTGCTTAATAAACTACACTGAGCTTTCCTAGCCTGCTGTTATGGTTTGAAATAGCTGTGTCACAACACAAGTGGGTAGATGAAGCTCTTTCTGTTTGTTTTGCCAAGGATAGGTGTTTGGCTGTAGGACAGTGCAAGGGGAGGATGTTCAGTGGGATCTCCCCTAGGCAAAATGCATAAGAGTCTCATTGTCCCTCCCAAACTCCAGGGCCATATGGACCACAGAGTCATCACAGGGAATCACAGATGGTTTGGCTTGGTGGGACCTTAAAGCTCATCTCACTCCAGCCCTGCCATGGACACGGACACCTTCCACTAGCCCAGGCTGCTCCAAGCCCCATCCAACCTGGCCTTGAACACTTCCAGGGATGGAGTTTTCCTGTCTTTCCTCCAGTGCCAGGCTGAGGTGCAGGTGTGTGCAGCTGTCGATGGCCACGTAGACCCTCCAGTCATGCCTCCTGGCCCTGTGCACGGTGCTGAGATGTTTCTTGTGTCGTAGCCTGGCAGAATAAAGTTGCTCAAACTCCCACGGGATATGAATCATTGTGGTATGACACATTCAGTGGTTCTCACGCCGCTGCCTCTGAGAAGAGGCAATACAACTCAAGCTACACGAGCTCTAAATATACACCCCTGAATAGGAGTTATTCTGCTCTGACCACTGACACAAATACTGAAGGTGATCAACAAAAATACCCTTTGCAGAACTGGGAAAGGCACTTCTGGCTTTGCTCATGTCAGCCCCTGCCAATGGAAACAGCCTCATCCTAGGTGACTGTAAGTCAGATTTCCATAGCAGTGTTGGTGATGCTGCTTAGACTTTTGTGTACACTGCACACTTCCTTCTGGAAGCATCACTGCTATCAGGAGTGAGCTGGTTGAACCTGGCTCCCTTTTGCACATTCAGATGGTTTTACTCAAGTTTTGGCTTGTTCCAGAGGGAGAGAATTGTTCTTCTACTGGAAATTCTGTGGAATCATAGAATCATCAAAGTTAGAGGAGACTTCTGAGATCATCAAGTCCAACCATTAACCTCTCAATCTGCTGTGACCCTTAAACCCTAAACCTCCAGCAGCAGATCCAGTTGCCTCTTAAATACTTCCAGGGATGGTGACTCCACCACCTCCCTGGAGATCAATGAGAGGAAACTTCTTGAGCTAGCTACACATGGAGCCCCTTGTTATTCCACTATTTTAGAACCATTCAGTTAATAGAAGTGCCTGGGACAAGCTCAGCTTTCCTAGATTCCTCTGCACCATGCAGCATCCACCCATGTGCCTGTCCTGAGGAACAGGGGTATGTGTGTGCCTGGAAAGAGCAGCCTGAACCTGTCCTAGGATCCTCCACAGATGCCTGGAAAGAGCAGCCTGAGCCTGTGCTAGGAGCCTGAGTTGGCAGAAACAGCAAAGAGTTAGCTAGGCACACTGGGCAAGACAAATCTGGTGTGTGTGAATTGCCAGTGAGAACTGCCAGCAGTTACCGAGGAGAGAACTCAATATCACAAACTGTCTGTAGAAAAGGTCTCTGCCCAGACTAACCCAATTAGCACTGCTTAATTTCAGGCCCTGC